CCGCTTTAAGGACTGCTCCCCCCGCTCCCCATTAAGGATTGGCACCTTTGGTGGGCGGGGGGGGGGGGGAGCGGGTACCCGAATTTGACAGGTACCCGCTCCCACTTCCGGTCCGATCGCCTAGGCAGAAGGTGTCCTCCCTCCCTCCCCGTAGTCTTCTGGGACACGTGACAGGTCCCAGAAGACTACAGGACCATTCATGAAGCGCATGCGCAGTGGGCACCCGACTGTGAAGCCGCAAGCTGTCACAGCCGGGTGCCCACACTGAAGATGCCGGCCTCCAGGAATACAGGACGGCCGGTGAAACACTCTGCGGGGGACACACCACGGGACCGAGGGACAGGTAAGTGGCTGTTTTTTAAAAGTCAGCAGCTGCAGTTTTTGTATCTGCTGACTTTTATTTTTTGAAAGGGTGAGCGGAGCTCCGCTTTAATATCCCTCATTTGATGTATTGTTGAGCATTACCGCTTTCTTAGAATTGAACTTCAGACAAAACTTTTTTTCCAGCTTTGGATAGAGTGGGTTAGAATTAGAACCCCTATCAGGTTTTTATTGTTTTTTGATCCCCCACTGGGGGAATTTATTCTGTATTTGTCCAGGTGACCATTGTCCCCCGAAGACCACATGAGCAGAATCTAAAAAAAAACAAAAAAAAAACACTGCAATAGGAGTAGAAGGGATATCTTCCATTAGGGACAATTGTTTCATTTTGAGATTTGCAGAACTCCTCCCAAGAGCCAACCCACTGTCTTCCATCAGGGCTGAGGGCTCTTGAGAGGAGAACTGAGGGTGCTATTATGTTTCCAGGAAGCTATGTACAGCACCCTGCCAGCCCCTCCCGCCAGCCATGATCTGCCTGCATTGCATAGAGAAGCACAGGGATCACGTGATGACATCACTAAGTCTAAAATGAAATATAAAATGAACAAGGAATGGTTTTACTTAAAAATGTCATTAGCATGTTAATAAGGGGGGAGGTGGGGGACCAAGGAAGTCAACTAAAGCAGAATAAACTTCAGTTTTAAAGGGCAACTCCACTGTCATGGGATAAAAAAACAAATGCTCAAATTTTAAAAAATACCTTTTCAATCCTAAGCACTATAATTTTCTTTAAAATACAATGTGGTAACCTGGAGGCGTTCTGAAAACAGATGGTGTACAGAGTGACCCCCAGAAATGTCTTTCTGATTTTCTGTACAAAGGATTTTGGGCATCCTCTGCAACAAAAATATAGTTTTTGGTGAGATACTCCCAAAGGGAAATCATGCCTAAAGGGATGCAGACCCTGCCACTTTCCTCATTAGAACTCTGCAGGCACACTAGCTGATTAATAATTATAAAGTCACTTCCATTCACATTCACTTTGCACACGGACACAGACAGACAAACAGCTATTTCTTCAGAATAACAAAAGGTAGGAATCCGCAACAAAGTCTGTTGAAATCCCTGCAGTGTACAAAGATTACCCAGATGGGAGGGGTTTTTTTTCTCAACAGAAGCGGAGAAAATATTAAAATGATGCAGAATTTACTCCTGAAAACATCTTCAAATAGGAATTAGTCTCGGACAAACCCAGTTCATAGCTGGAATTATGAAGGGCGGGGGTGGGTTGGGTTATTTGGTAGGATAGCAGGGGACTGTACACAGTCAGTTCAGAGCGGAGTCAAAGGACGGTGTCCAGTGAATATCGCTGACCCGCAGCATCCATCCGAACATTGCAGCACCAGAATCCTAGCTGTAGTCTGGTCACCCTGAGCACCCCAATGGGCGGAGGTCTGAATGTTTCATAAAAGGGTGGAGACGAGGCTTGCATTCCATAGAAGTCACTTTGAAGACATCGATTTCATACTGCGTGTTCTCTGCACAGCGGCTGGTTGGATTCTACTTTGAGTCTCGTCCAATAGGTTGGGCGGGAAAAAAAAAAAAAACTGTGTTTTAATTTTTTTTGTCTAGTTATATAATAAAAAAAAAAGCCACAATTTAAACAAATATTCTGATCTTCACATTGCCATGTATTAGCATTAACTGAACTTCTGGACTTTTAAAGGATAAGTTCACCTTTTTGCAGATAAAAATATGCGCATTTATTATTTTTGTCCAAAGGAGCTTGGAAAGCATTTCACCAGCGATCAGTAGATCGCTGATGCCATGCAGGTCTCCTGCAGACCTGTCAGAATATCTGCTTGCCGTACGGGGTGTATGGAGTGTACGGGGTGTATGGAGTGTACGGGGTGTATGGAGTGTACGGGGGTGTATGGAGTGTACGGGGTGTATGGAGTGTACGGGGTGTATGGGAGTGTACGGGATGTACGGGGTGTATAAATGTACGGGGTGTATGGAATGTACGGGGTGTATGGGATGTACGGGGTGTATGGGATGTACGGGGTGTAGGGGATGTACGGGGTGTAGGGGGATGTACGGGGTGTACGGGATGTACAGGGTGTGCGGGATGTACGGGGTGTGCGGGATGTACGGGGTGTGCGGGATGTACGGGGTGTACGGGATGTAGGGGGTGTACGGGATGTACGGGATGTACAGGGTGTATATAGTGTACGGGGTGTATGGGATGTACGGGGTGTGTGCGGGATGTACGGGGTGTATGGGATGTACGGGTGTACGGGATGTACGGGGTGTACGGGATGTACAGGGTGTATAAAGTGTATGGGATGTACGGGGTTGTGCGGGATGTACGGGGTGTATGGGATGTACGGGGTTGTGGGGATGTACGGGGGTGTGTGGGATGTACGGGGGTGTGCGGGATGTACGGGGTGTACGGGGTGTACGGGGTGTACAGGATCTACGGGGGTGTATGGGATGTACGGGATGTACAACAGATATACTCACCGGAAGCTTCAGTGAACTATCACGGCGCTACACAGCTGAAAACCACAAGCCGACACCCGCTAAGGCTGCTGGGACATGCAGTTCATTCATTCACAGAAGTTCATGAATGAATGATGCTGTTGTGTGGGCGGAGCCCCGCCCTCCACGCTGTTTTCAAATCTGACAGATAGCATGGGGAAATCTTCTCCCCGTACTATCTGTCAGAGGGGGGGGGGGGGGGGAGCGACAGATGTCGGCGGCCGCGGCTATGGAAACACGTTACATGACCCTCACTAAAAACAGATGGAACATGTAACATGTTCCTAAAGGTGATCTTAAATGTTTTTGGCATTATGAGGAAGAGTGAGACTTCCTGGCACGAGACGTAAATTAAAAGTGATGCTAAACTATAACTGATTCTCCAAACATAAAATGAATCTACTTAATGGTCCCATCATCTATTTTTCATGAAATCATAACTTACTGTGTTTCCTGCCTCCCTGTAACATCCTTTAGGAGCTCCCAAACCTCCACCTGCATGGAGCCTAATGTCAGTATGGGATTGGAATTGTTGGAGGGGGGGGGGGGGGGGGTTGCGTCAGCCCGCTGTTATGCCATCATCGCTAAGACGCCATTTTTGGGTGGGCCAATATTCTGTTTCATGATATGATTTTACAAAGGGGTCAGTCTTTTGCACGTTTCTCACGTATATCAATCAACATGCTGCCCAACTTACGTTGCGTGATCGTGCGGAAACATGCCCGTGTTCCGTTGCACCTGCATGGTGTGAGTGGAGTCTAATGGGGCAGCACAGTGGCTGAGTTGTGGGGCAGCACTTCCGCCCGACAGTACTCGGGTCGCTGGTTCAAATCCGCACCACCTGCCTGGAGTTTGCATGTCTCTCCCTGTGCTTGCGTGGGTTTCCTCCGGGTACTCCGGTTTCCTCCCACACTCCAAAGACATGCTGGCAGGTTAATTGTCTCCTGTCTAAATTGTCCCTAGTATGTGTATGTATGAATGTGAGTTAGGGACCTTAGATTGTACACCCCTTGAGGGTTAGGGACTGAGATTGTACACCCCTTGAGGGTTTAGGGTGAATGTACAATATATATGTAAAGTGCTGGGTACATTGATGGCAATATATAAGTACCTGAAATAAATAAATAATGTCACTATGGGATTTGAAAGTGTTGGGGGGGTGTTGTGCGTCATCCCGCTGTCATGCCATTATCTCTAAAAAGCCATTTTTGGATTGGCTAATATTCTGTTTCATGATACGGCGGTCCACCCCAAACTAACATTTCACTGCAGGTGACTCGGTCCTTCAGACTCCGCCCGTCTTTAGGTGGACTGACCCTGTAAAAGGGAGATGCTCTTTTTTTGGCTGGCAACACTCAAACAGAAATAAAACGGAAGCACAGTAGCCAGTAAAGCTGACCCCCCCCCCCCCCCATGGCTATTCCTGCCCATCACAGATATAGAGGAAAGGTTTGATCTCCAGGGACTGCCAGGCGTCAGGCAGATGTCATCCACTGTGATATATTGGTGTCAGCAGGGAGGACAGTGTGGCATGCTGGGGGGGTGGGGGGGAGGGGATGGAGGAGGAAATTGGCACCTGCAAGTGACAAACTTAGAGAAACTTTGTATCTGAACATTTTTTGTTGTTATGCTCCCCCCCCCCCCCTCTGTTTGTTGTTGGTGATCAGTGCAGCTTGTGTTCTGCTGCGGGAATTTCTTCCCTGCTCATTGCTGAAAGCAGATAAGAAGCCAGACCTTGGTATTCCCAGCAAATGTTTTTTACTGACGCAAAAAACAGAGCTGTCATTCTCCGTTACCACACGTTATAGTGTGTTCCTAAACCCCGGACCCTGCATTCACTATATCTGGTCTCCAAGGACCCTGCATTCACTATATGTGGTCTCCCCAGACCCTGCATTCACTATATCTGGTCTCCCCGGACCCTGCATTCACTATATCTGGTCTCCCGGACCCTGCATTCACTATATCCGCTCTCTCCCGGACCTGCATTCACTATATCCGCTCTCCCGGACCCTGCATTCACTATATCCGCTCTCCCCGGACCCTGCATTCACTATATCTGCTCTCCCCGGACCCTGCATTCACTATATCCGCTCTCCCGGACCCTGCATTCACTATATCCGCTCTCTCCCGGACCGGCATTCACTATATCTGGTCTCCCCGGACCCTGCATTCACTATATCTGGTCTCCCCGGACCCCGCATTCACTATATATGGTCTCCCCGGACCCTGCATTCACTATATCCGCTCTCCCGGACCCTACATTCACTATCATCCGGTCTCCCCGGACCCTGCATTCACTATATCCGCTCTCCCCGGACCCCTGCATTCACTATATCCGCTCTCCCCGGACCCTGCATTCACTATATCGGTCTCCCAAGGACCCCTCATTCACTATATCCGCTCTCCCCGGACCCTGCATTCACTATATCCGCCGCTCTCCCCGGACCCTGCATTCACTATATCCGCTCTCCCGACCCTGCATTCACTATATCTGGTTTTTTCTCGCTTCCCCGGACCCTGCATTCACTATATCTGGTCTCTCCCCGGTCACCCTGCATTCACAACTATATCTAGTCTCCCCGGACTCTGCATTCCACTATATCCGCTCTCCCCGGACTCTGCATTCACTATATCTGGTCTCCCCGGACCCTGCATTCACTATATCTGGTCTCCCCGGACCCTGCATTCACTATATCTGCTCTCCCGGACTCTGCATTCACTATATCCCGCCGCTCCTCCCCGGACTCTGCATTCACTATATCGCTCTCCCGGACTCTGCATTCATTATATCTGGTCTCCCCGAACCCCGCATTCACTATATCCGGTCTCCCCGGACCCTGCATTCACTATATCCGCTCTCCCGGACCCCTGCATGTTCACTATATCCGCTCTCTCCGGACCCTGCATTCACTATGTCCGCTCTCCCCGGACCCTGCATTCACAACATCTGGTCTCCCCGGACCCTGCATTCACTATATCCGCTCTCTCCGGGACCCTGCATTCACTATATCCACTCTCTCCGGACCCTGCATTCACTATATCCGCTCTCTCCGGACCCTTCATTCACTATATCCGCTCTCTCCGGGACCCTGCACTCACTATGTCCGCTCTCCCCGGGACCCTGCATTCACTACATCCGGTCTCCTCGGACCCTGCATTCACTATATCCGCTCTCCCCGGACCCTGCATTCACTATATCGCTCCCCGGACCCTGCATTCACTATATCCGCTCTCCCAGGACCCTGCATTCACTATATCCGGTCTCCCTGGACCCTGCATTCACTATATCCGGTCTCCGGGACCCTGCATTCACTATATCCGGTCTCCCCCGGACCCTGCATTCACTATATCCGGTCTCCCCGGACCCTGCATTCACTATATCCGGTCCCCGGACCCTGCATTCACTATATCTGGTCTCCCGGACCCTGCATTCACTATATCTGGTCTCCCCGGACCCCGCATTCACTATATCTGGTCTCCCCGGACCCCCGCATTCACTATATCTGGTCTCCCCGGACCCCGCATTCACTATATCCAGTCTCCCCGTACCCCGAATTCACTATATCCGCTCTCCCCGGAACCCCGCATTCACTATATCCGCTCTCCCTGGACCCCGCATTCACTATATCTGGGTCTCCCCGGACCTGCATTCACTATATCCACTCTCTCCGGACCCTGCATTCCCTATATCTGCTCTCCCCGGACCCTGCATTTCCTATATCCGGTCTCCCCGGACCCTGCATTCACTATATCCACTCTCCCCGGACCCTGCATTTACTATATCCTCTCTCTCCCAGGACCCCTGCATTTACTATATCCGCTCTCCCCGGACCCTGCATTCACTATATCCGCTCTCCCCGGACCCTGCATTCACTATATCTGCTCTCCCCGGACCCTGCATTCACTATATCGGTCTCCCCGGACCCTGCGTTCACTATATCCCGCTCTCGCCCCCGGACCCTGCGTTCACTGTATCTGGTCTCCCCGGACCCTGCATTCACTATATCTGGTCTCTCCCGGACCCTGCATTCACTATATCTGGTCTCCCCTGGACCCTGCATTCACTATATCTGGTCTCCCCGGACAACCCTGCATTCACTATATCTGGTCTCCCCGGACCCTGCATTCACTATATCTGGTCTCCCCGGACCCTGCATTCACTATATCTGGTCTCCCCGGACCCTGCATTCACTATATCTGGTCTCCCCGGACCCTGCAATTCACTATATCTGGTTCCCCGGACCCTGCATTCACTATATCTGGTCTCACCAGGTGAAAACAGAGTGAAAGAAGGAAACCGAATGCAGCTGCCACATCTAATGATTGGTAAGCTGCAAAAATATTCAAAAATATTACATTTTTGGGTTTAATAACACGTTAATCACTGAAATCTCATAGAAGTTTTAATGGGTTACTGGCAATTTTAAAGATTTTTAATTCTTCAGTCTGCAGCTTTCATTAAAACAGTCCCCGGTGATCCTTCCATACAGATTCTTGTTTGCAGGACACTTCCTGTTATACAGTGACAACGCTCTGTCCCTGTCTCCCATTTATTCTTCTGTGTTGTCACCTTCTCATGTGCGCGCCCTAGTGGGGAATTATAAGCAGATGTTCATTGCACAGACATGGTCCACCATTGTCACCATCGGGAAGCCGGTCCGGAAGCAATGATGTGCAGGCGGAGTCCCATCTACTTTTTAGAAATGTTGATAATGTTGTCGAAAGTTTCCCGGGGCACTCAGGAGTTCTCGTCATTTGTAATCCCGTCATTTGCCTATGGTTGCACCTTCCCCCCTCCATCCTGTGTAGTTTGGCTCGCTCTCTCACCAAGTCACGGCTCGCTCCAGCAGGTTTGTGTGTAAACAGCGCTGACCTGCCGCGTTCCGTCCAGACAGAACTTGTGATCCGAGTGTTTACTATCTCCTGCCAGTGATTGCTGACATCACATGTGTATAAATATTCCTCCGTGCTGATTGGTGGGTTACTGATTCACTGATCAGAGCTCTCTCCGAAAAGTGGGCACCTGCATTCAGCTCGCGGCATGTAATAATCGCTCTCTGCGATGGTATCGTGTGTTTTATATGGAGCAAACGTCTTCCTTTATAGACAGCATTGTGCCATTTACATCAGTCACTGCACCAAAGGAGCTTGCGCTCTAATGTCTGCGCTGCAGTCACACAAATAGGTTAAAAAATTGGTCACAATATTATTAGCCAGGAACTACAAGTCCCAGCATCACCTGTACACATGTATATAGTATATCCAGGAACCACAAGTCCCAGCATCACCTGTACACATGTACAGTGGGGATCGAAAGTTTGGGCACCCCAGCTAAAAATTTGTATTAATGTGCATAAAGAAGCCAAGGAAAGATGGAAAAATCTCCAAAAGGCATCAAATTACAGATTAGACATTCTTATAATATGTCAACAAAAGTTAGATTTTATTTCCATCATTTACACTTTCAAAATAACAGAAAACAAAAAAATGGCGTCTGCAAAAGTTTGGGCCCCCTGCAGAGTTAATATCTTGTACTGCCCCCTTTGGCAAGTATCACAGCTTGTAAACGCTTTTTGTAGCCAGCCAAGAGTCTTTCAATTCTTGTTTGAGGTATCTTTGCCCATTCTTCCTTACAAAAGTCTTCCAGTTCTTTGAGATTTCTGGGCTGTCTGTCACGCACTGCTCTTTTAAGGTCTATCCATAGATTTTCAATTATGTTGAGGTCAGGAGATTGTGAAGGCCATGGCAAAACCTTCAGTTTACGCCTCTTGATGTAATCCCCCGTGGATTTCGAGGTGTGTTTAGGATCATTATCCATTTGTAGAAGCCATCCTCTCTTTAACTTCAGCTTTTTCACAGATGGCATCAAGTTACCATCCAAAATTTGCTGAAATTTTATTGAATCCATTTTTCCTTCTACTCGTGAGATGTTCCCTGTGCCACTGGCTGCAACACAACCCCAAAGCATGATTGATCCAACCCCATGCTTCACAGTTGGACAGAGGTTCTTTTCATTAAATTCTGTGCCCCTTCTTCTCCAAACGTACCTTTGCTCATTCCGGCCAAAAAGTTCAAGTTTTAACCTCATCGGTCCACAGAACTTGTTTCCAAAATGCATCAGGCTTGTCTATATGTTCATTTGCAAAGTTCAAATGATGATTTTTGTGGTGAGGACATAGAAGAGGTTTTCTTCTGATGACTCTTCCATGAAGACCATATTTGTACAAGTATCTCTTTATAGTGGAATAGTGTACCACAACTCCAGTGTCTGCCAGATCTTTCTGGAGGGATCGTGCAGTCAAACGTGGGTTTTGAATTGTTTTTCTCACAATCCTGCGAGCTGTTCTGTCTGATATTTTTTCTTGGTCTTCCAGATCTTGCTTTAACTTCTACTGTTCCTGATGACTGCCATTTCTTAATTACATTCCGAACAGAGGATATTGACATCTGAAAACACTTTGCTATCTTCTTGTAGTCTTCTCCAGCATTGTGAGCGTCAACTATTTTCAGTTTCAGTTTTCTAGACAACTGCTTAGAAGAACCCATGGTGCTGATTGTTGGGGCAAGGTCAGATGAGTCTGGGCATTTAAAACCTTTGAGATTGACATCACCTGGTCTTCCCAGACGATGATTGAGAACAATCCATGACACTGGCAGGTCTCAGCTTTGCAAAGGGGGCAGTGCATGCTATAAATTCTGCAGGGTGCCCTAACTTTTGCAGACGCCATTTTTTTATTTTCTGTTATTTTGAAAGTGTAAATGATGGAAATAAAATCTAACTTTTGTTGACATATTATAAGAATGTCTAATCTGTAATTTGATGCCTTTTGGAGATTTTCCCATCTTTCCTTGGCTTCTTTATGCACATTAATACAAATTTTTAGCTGGGGTGCCCAAACTTTCGATCCCCACTGTATGTAGTATGGCCAGGAACCGCAAGTCCCAGCATCACCTGTACACATGTATATAGTATGGCCAGGAACCGCAAGTCCCAGCATCACCTGTACACATGTATATAGTATGGACAGGAACCGCAAGTCCCAGCATCACCTGTACATATGTATATAGTATGTCCAAGAACCACAGGTCCCAGCATCACCTGTACACATGTATGTAGTATGGCCAGGAACCGCAAGTCCCAGCATCACCTGTACATATGTATATAGTATGGCCAAGAACCACAGGTCCCAGCATCACCAGGACACATGTATATAGTATGGCCAGGAACCGAAAGTCCCAGCATCACCTGTACACATGTATATAGTATGGCCAAGAACCACAGGTCCCAGCATCACCTGTACACATGTATATAGTATGGCCAAGAACCACAGGTCCCAGCATCACCTGGACACATGTATATAGTATGGCCAAGAACCACAGGTCCCAGCATCACCTGGACACATGTATATTGTATGACCAGGAACCACAAGTCCCAGCATCACCTGTACACATTTATATTGTATGGCCAGGAACCACAAGTCCCCGCATCATCTGTACACATGTATATAGTATGGCCAGGAACCACAGGTCCCAGCATCACCTGGACACATGTATATGGTATGACCAGGAACTGCAAGTCCCAGCATCACCTCTAGAAATGTATATTGTATGGCCAGGAACTACAAGTCCCAGCATCACCTGTATACATGTATATTGTATGGCCAGGAACTACAAGTCCCAGAATCATCTGTATACATATATTAAGAGACGAGGAACTGCAAGTCTCAGCCCGGAGACTCAGATGATTCAGTCCGGAGACTTGGAATGTGGGGGGTCGGGGCCCCTGAGGGCCCCATTACAGGTCTATACAGTATATATGGGAATAGTCCATGAGACATCTCGTGAAGCCGTTCGGGGATGATTCAGCCTGGAGACTCGAAATGTGGGGGGTCGGGGTCCATGAGGGCCCCATTGCAGATCTATATACAGTATGTATGGGAATATTCAATGGGACCTCTCGGTGAAGCCGTTTGGGGATGATTCAGCCCAGAGACTCGGAATGTGGGGGGTCGAGGCCCCTGAGGGCCCCATTGCAGGTCTATATACAGTATATATGGGAATATTCGCTGAGATATCTCGGTGAAGCCGTTTGGGGATGATTCAGCCCAGAGACTTGGAATGTGGGGGGTCGAGGCCCCTGAGGGCCCCATTGCAGGTCTATATACAGTATATATGGGAATATTCGATGAGACATCTCGGTGAAGCCATTCGGGGATGATTCAGCCCGGAGACTCGGAATGTGGGGGGTCGAGGCCCCTGAGGGCCCCATTGCAGGTCTATATACAGTATATATGGGAATATTCGATGAGACATCTCGGTGAAGCCGTTCGGGGATGATTCAGCCCGGAGACTCGGAATGTGGGGGGTCGAGGCCCCTGAGGGCCCCATTGCAGGTCTATATACAGTATATATGGGAATATTCGATGAGACATCTCGGTGAAGCCATTCGGGGATGATTCAGCCTGGAGACTCGGAATGTCA